AAACGGGCTTTCATACTAAATTGATGACACAACCCAAGTAACTAAACTATATTAGTCGAAACTTAAAACTAAATTCGAATGAAAACTAAGTAAATAAAGAGAGATATTACCGGTATCCAGATTCGTCAATCGATCGGATGTGAACCCAAGCGTTGCCTAGACCCAACACCTCTAAACCAATGGAGACTCGAACAATTTGGCTAGAAACTCCGGTCGGTTTCGGAAGCCACGAACCCAAGGAATTAACCCAAGGACCCGATTTAAAAATGATATGCGTATACAAGGGAAACCCTCACTCACACACTAATTCCAATATAATGGAATAAAGAAGAAAACTTTAATTGATATAAGTTTCAAGATGTCTTACAAATGAGACCAAGTGCCTTATTTATAGGGGAAGGCTAGTTTGGTAAAAGGCTCTACAACCAATGTGACACAAAAGTACACATTATTTAAAGCCCGCTAATTTAAAAAAATAAAATAAGGCCCAACTAATTAAATAACTAAAAAAGGTCCAATTAATTAGATCAAAAGGACTCACCTTATTAAATAAAATATAACACCTCTTATCCCACATAGGATAATGGTGTGAGTAGCAACTCTCATGGGTATTATAAGTTATGGTCTTCAAGGGAATAAAGACATGGATCATGGATGCATTATCTAATATTGATAACGCTCTTCCCATTGGCTTGGATACTTCCACTTTATGCTTTTTTCCTCTTTTAAGTATAGAACTAATGCCATAATATTATTTTGAAACTTCTTGGCACAGTTTCGAGTGATTGGACCAGGTGGCAGTGCAGGTTCATCATCGCTTTTGACGACCTCGTCAATGTGTATTAATCAACATTGTATGAAAGCACGTCTATCACACGCTTCATTGTGTTAATACATTTGATGTTCGAACCATGGTGACTTTAGGTGTATAGATATGTAAATCTCTAATTTACAAGTGTTTCTAACTAGTTTGTGTTTGTCTGTGGGTGTTAATTTCATGTAATTGCGTATTGCGTATACATATATTAAGCAAGCTTATCCGTCTACACAAGAAACGTAAAAATCTACGTGCATGTACACATTTATTAATGTACAAGCTTATCAGCGAATGTGTGTTTACGCACATGAATTTTTCAGTATGGTTGAGTTGCACGGCACGTGTGCTTCACATTTTTTCTATTCACGTAAGCAATATAGTTATGCACATGTGCTCCACGAGCGCTTTGCTTTTATATGCTACACGTATATAAGTTATTCGTGTGTAAATGTGCATATATAAAACATCTACTCGCTAGGTACATATATATATCGTACGACGGACCATGGACCATGCATAATGTACATGTACATGCACATGCATTAATATACACGTACACCATGTATATGTGCTAACACGTGTAAGTTGCACGCATCTACATTACAAATAGCATGCGTACATTACGGGCTTGTAGAAATGTATCAATATGATAAGCATTGATATATTAAGCGCATCTACACCACATACGTATATACAATTTATATAAGTACATGATATAGGCATGTGTATCTACACGCTTATCGAAGCATAACAATAGCTTAATTAAGCACTGGTACACCATGTGCATAAATACATAGACACACAACGAACGAGCACATTACCCATATACATTGATGTGACCATCATGAGAGCTATCGATCCATAAAATTTTCTAGTCGAACTGAATACCCGGAGCCAGGCACAAAAGATTCAAATGACTTATTTTTCTTGGACAACCGTACCATGGATTCCATTATTGAAGAAGTTGCCAAAGATAGACCAGCTATAGAGTATTATAAATTCGATTCTCCGATCACTTAATCATCTCGAGATCATCATTAGAAGATTCGAGACTACCAACCAAGATTGCCAACGAAGAATATCAATAATTATGGAATGAGTCCAAAGTTTCCATATTATCTATTTCCTTATAGTATAAGTTTCCTTTTAGTATATTCCATAATAAGTTATTTCCTTATTTTATGTTTCTTAGTTTAGATATTGCCTTCTAAATTATTTTTTTATTTTCTAATGTTTCCTTAGACACGGCCCTACCGTGTATAATTATGCCCAAAGTAATTTTTTTATCCACAAAGTTCAATAGAACCAATGGATTCAGAATATGGGTGAAAGAAAAGAGAATGAAGAATAAAAGATAGTGCAGAGAATGTAAATTAATATCGATGATAACCAACCACGAGAATTAGTCTCGGACCTGAAATCAAACCATAGGTTAAAACACAAACAATAGGCTAAATTCCACTGCAAAGGATTGGAAACCATGAGCCGATGGAATCACTCTAAAGACCCGATTTGAAATATCTAAGTGGGAGGAAATCACATCCTAGCACTAGACAAATATTGAGAGGAAACAATAAAGAAATTTTATTCAAGATTCACTCTACTCTATTACAATGATAAACAAGGACCTTATATAGGACCTTATATAAAGGTCCTTGAGGAAAATAAAAGACAACCAATAATAAATAAACAAACCAAAAGGTAAGTCTAACCATAACAAAAGTTCTAGATATGGAATTATATTATATGAAAAATTATAATAAAAGATAATTCTATATGATAAATAACTTCGAAATTCTTCCATAATTATTTGTTGTCTTAGTCTTCAAGTTCTGGTTCTTGTGATCTTGGCCTTGGGATGACTCGGTTGGGTGATCTTTGAGTCAGATACAAAAGAGTTATAATGTCTAGCAAGTTCATCTTCAATAATCTTTTTTTTTTTTTTTCTCTGAGCTTGGACAGCTGCATCATCCTTTTTTCTATCCACAAGGACCTCTATATAAGGCCTTGTTTATCATTGTACAAATAGACCACTTTTTGATATTTTTGTATAAAATTTCTTTGCTTTCAATAGTGGTTTTTGTTTGCTTGATTATTCGAGATTGTGCTATGCAATGATCGGTAGTCTTTCAAAATCGAGTTGTTTTCAAGTGATTTGAGACAATTCGTCGTCTCTCAATCGGTTTTGGACCGCTTGTTGCGTCAACTCTATTCCTGATTGGTTTAGAGATCTTGTGTTTCGTGTTGCCTAGTTCTCACATGGTGCTCATCCGACCAACCATGTGAATTGAGAATTTAGATTATCCTTCTTTATTCCTTATTTGGTTTAGAGATTTTGTGTTGCGTGTTGCTTAATTGTCACGTGATGCCTATCCAATCAACCTTGTAAATCTAGAAACTAAGGTATCATTCTATCCATATCATATTCATCTCTATTCTTTCACCAAATTCTGCATCTTTGTGTTACTTTATTTCGGTTTACAAGTTTTCAAACCCTTCAGTTACATTCGCATCATACATAAATCACTACAAAACATAACACATAAATGATACAATCATATTTAACTAACACAATAAATCCTATGAATAAACTCAAGCAAAAACAATATAACAACCAAACAAAAAACCTTAAACAAAATAACTTAATTGGGACTAAAAAAAGAAACTTAATTGGGACTGAAAAAAAAAATTACTGTATTAATTGCCTATAATTTTAATAATATAGTTATAAAAAGTAAAATAAATAAATAAATAAATATGTACTATCAAATGCATTAATTACTTTTATTTTGTATTACTTTAGGATTAAAAACTTTGGACTTTCACATAAAAAAAATATTAAAAAATGAAATAACAAAAAACAAAAAGTTCCAATAATTAATTTTGCCTTGATAATAAAATAAATTCTACTAAAAATAAATTTAATATTGTTACATAATAGAATTAGAGAAAGGCTAAAGAGAAAAATAAGTTATTAGGGCAAGGATATTAAGTTAATTTCGTATAGACAATTAATGAGTATATATATATATATATATATTATAAGATTGGTAAAATTGTTCATAATTTTTCGATTCAGCATAAAATCTCTCTATATTTTAAAAGTTGCATGACACCCCTTTATACTTTTATGCAACATTTTTTAAAGTATGAGCGCCATGTAATTTTTAAAATAAAGTGAGAATTTACGCTAAATTTCGAAATTACTAAGGGATTTCATTGAGTTTCGAAACTATAAGGGAGTTCATTGAGTTTCGAAACTATAAGGAAGTTATGAGTAATTTTGCCTATGAAATATAGTAAATTATATAATAACTCTTGTATTTTAGTAATGATTTATAAAATACAAATATTTTATTTAGTGTGTGAAATCTCTTTTCTTTAAATTAAAATAAATAAAGCTTTTGGTTGTAATCATATATCTAATTATGCACATTTTATACAAATAAAAAAAATGAAATATTTTTTAAAATAATTTTAAATAAAATAAATAACTAAATAATTTATAAACTATTCATTAATAGATTTTTTAGAGTAACTGTTACTTAGTTTTATAATAAATTATAATATTTCAATTATTTATTTATTTATTTTATTAAAAAAATACTATTTAAAATATTTTACCCTTCTCATCTATATAAAACTTGTATAATAAGACACGTGATTACAATGAAATATATCAATTGTGTACAAAGATGGTGCTTTGAACATACTTAATTTAATTATGCAAAAATAAATAAGAGGTATTTTATCCATTTATATTAAAATACAATGAGGTATTATACAATTTATCTTATAAAAATATCAAGCGACTTGTTTGTTTTGTGCTATGATTTGAAGAGATTTTTATTTTGGTGAGTTATAGAAAAATTTGTAGATAATATAAAAATAATACATTAATTTTTGAAAAAAAATATATTGGTTATTTTCACGAAACAAAGCAAACTATGATTTATGGTATAAATTAATTTTGAGCTTAATAAATAGAATTTAATTTCAAACTACAAAATAACAAAAGTAATGTTGTAGAGTTGAGCCAAAAATTTGACAAAAAGCTTGTAGCCTAAGCTGGTGTAAAAATTGGGAAAGAAAACAAAGTGGCAGGGCTGCATTGCAAACCTTGAAAGTTAAGGTACTCTGAAATAACTATTAATTCTGAATTCCATTTGCACCCGTCTGTCCGTCCGTCCACTCATTCTTATGTCTGGCCAAGAATCACTCTTCGTTTTCACTCACTCACTTCATACACCACCAAGTTAATTAATCAAAGAAAAAAATATCTATCTGCAACCAACAATCATCGCATCATCACTCCCGTTTGCATTTCCATTTACACAGCACAGCATTTTTGTCAGTCAATACGATATGATATGATATGATCACCACTGACCCTTCTTCACATTGCACTGCTGCAACAGCATCGTCACCGCTGAGTTTCTTCATTTTCACAAAGACACGCAATGCTCTTTACCAGCACAAGTTTCCTCCTCCAAACCCCACACTCATATCTGCTGCTTCCTTGTCATCATCCTTCACCAGTGATGAAACCCCACCCGGATTGGATGTTCAAATTTCGAACGGGAAGTACAATCCACTGGTGAGAAGCAGAGCTACGCAGAGTAAGAAAAAGCAAGGGGAAGCAGCAGTAGAAGAAGAGGTGGTCGTGGTAGGGGAAAGAGTGGTCAAGTGTGAAGTGGAGGTAATTTCATGGAGGGAACGCAAAATCAAAGCTGAGATATCTGTCAATACTGATGTTGCTTCTGTTTGGAATGCTCTCACCGACTATGAAAGGCTCGCCGATTTCATCCCAAATCTTGTTAGCAGGTAGTCCATACACATACATAACATCTGTTGAAATTAATCTTCAGCAAATCAATGCCAATGAATGACCATGGGCTTGGTTCTATAGATATTTACATATCTATCTAATCTTTGAATTTTTTGGTGGATGTGGCAATGAAATGAGAGGGTAGTTTAACTTCTCTGGTGTTTCTGAATTTGGAAGGCCACCGAATGGTTTCGAATGCATTCAGAAATCAGGGTTTATCGTTGTGAATCGAAGCTATAGATATTGACTATGGAAAACATTTAAGAGATGAGATCCCAACTGTCATTCTAGCCTAACAATGAATGAAAAGAAAGTGTAGAAAAATAAACACAACATTGATTGATTCTTGATTAATAGCATAACATAGCATAGAGCATCATTTTGAGGGGCTCTAGATGAAGGGATTTGAGTTTTGTTGATAGCAGCACCATTCATACGGTGGTGATTGTGATTTTGTGTCGAAGAGATTTTTGCAAACCAGGTGGTAGACAATTGTTTGGACTAGGTTGTTATTTTGCTTTAGATGCTTGCTTGACTTCTCGGGATTATTTGTAGTATTTAATAATTCTTGGGCCTTTAGCTCTGCCACTTGTGGAACTTGGACAAGATTAGTGTATTTATATCTTAAATTTGGTTATTGCATAACGAATTGTTGGCTTTACAATATAATGTGTTCTTTGTCGAATTATATTTCAGTGAAAGAATTCCTTGTCCGCATCCGGGGAGGATATGGCTAGAACAAAGAGGCTTGCAGAGAGCACTTTATTGGCATATAGAAGCCCGGGTCGTGTTGGATCTTCAAGAGTTTGTCTACTCTGTAAGTGAAACTATTTTATGATCGAATGAATTCAGTATCTTCCATGATAGACATTTGATAGTGTCTCGTGGTAAGAATCCACGACATAAACTGAGATACATATGCTACTACTGTATGTATATTTTCTCCCCCATCTGTTTGATGTTATGATTGCTTTGTAAGGAAAATGACCGCGAAGTTCGCTTCTTTATGGTTGATGGCGATTTCAAGAAATTTGAAGGGAAATGGTTGGTCAAGTCTCGAAAAGGGTATGGTACTATATTTCATTCCATTTCTATTCGTAGTATATTTTAGCTTTATTTGTCTAATAGTCTGTTGTCTTTCATAGACCATATTTTACAGAATCATCAAAACACTTATCTATATCCTTGGCTACAAATGTAGATCCCCAACGACGATTTTGGGCTATGAAGTGCATGTCATACCGCGGTTCAACTTCCCGGCAATATTCCTCGAGAGGATTATCAAGTCAGATCTTCCAGTGAACCTACTGGCCTTGGCCTGCAGATCTGAAAATAGTTTAGAAGGAGATGAGGATCTAAACTCGCAAGAATTCTTGAACTCGTCGTCGTCGTCCCTGCATCCTCTCTCTCTCGAAGGTGCAGCAGCATTGAAGGACAAAGTCAGTCCCACGAATGTCAAGGAGAAGTTTGTTAAGTCTTCTTTCGGTCCATTGTCTCCTTCCACTGGTGATTTAAACAGCAGCTGGGGAATTTTCGGCAAATCATGTCCACTCGACAGACCCTGTGTGGTGGATGAAGTTCACCTCCGTAGATACGATGGCTTATTGGTAACTAACTAACTGTCAATACTATTATTGCATTCCTTTCCATGCATCTCATCTTCATCTCTGTTTTGAGATAGTCTTCTCTGAGTGATGGTGTTTGGATGATAAGGAAAATGGAGGCGTTCATTGCTGCGTTGTCGCCAGCATAACTGTCAATACTATTATTGCATTCCTTTCCATGCATCTCATCTTCATCTCTGTTTTGAGATAGTCTTCTCTGAGTGATGGTGTTTGGATGATAAGGAAAATGGAGGCGTTCATCGCTGCGTTGTCGCCAGCATAACTGTAAAAGCTCCTGTTCGTGAAGTATGGAGTATTCTCACAGATTATGAGCGTCTTCCTGAGTAAGTTGTTATGTTAAAGGAAACAATTCATACCTTAATCATTTCTTGTTGGACGAGTTGAATCAATCACTCACACTCATACCTACTGCAGGATCGTCCCAAATTTGGCAATCAGCAAGGTTTTAACTAGGGAAAACAACAACGTTCAGATTCTCCAGGTACATATGTATAAATTGTTTCGAACATCACAACAGACTAGTGAAATTCTCAGTACATCTGATCGATGAATGATATAACAATGCAGGAGGGATGCAAAGGTCTTCTGTATATGGTTCTCCATGCTCGAGTTATTCTTGATTTGTGTGAGCATCTCGAACAAGAGATACGATTCGAGCAGGCGGAAGGAGATTTCGATGCATTTAGGGGGAAGTGGATTCTGGAGAAGCTAGGTAAACACCATACACTATTGAAGTACTCAGTCGAGTCCAAAATGCATAAAAATTCCTTTCTTTCCGAAGCTATTATGGAAGAGGTTCGTGCCCGTTTCTTCCATGCCTCTGTAATTCATTTCAATTTTTCTACTCTCCTTTTTCTAAGGAACTTTCCAACTTTGTAGGTCATTTATGAAGATCTCCCTTCCAACTTGTGTGCTATTCGAGATTACATAGAAAAAAGGGAGACCGGAAGTGTCCATGACACACTCGACAACAACGAAAGGCATTCAGAGGGACAAAGAGCTTTATTGAGCAACAGCAGTGTTATAGAAGAGGATGATGACTACTACGAGTGTGGATCAAGTTCATCTAGACAAAGACCTAAGGTTCCGGGCTTGCAAAGGGACATCGAAGTTCTTAAATCTGAGCTCATAAATTTCATTAGTGAACATGGGCAAGAAGGGTTCATGCCTATGAGGAAGCAACTACGAAAGTATGGGCGGGTTGACATTGAAAAGGCGATTACACGCATGGGTGGATTCAGGAGAATCGCATCGATGATGAATCTATCCCTTGCTTACAAGCATAGGAAGCCTAAAGGGTACTGGGATAATCTTGAAAATTTGCAAGATGAGGTTAGTTTCTTGCATTTCATGTCACAATTTGTCCTACAAGCACTAGTTGACATAAATTTCTTTTTGTGTGCCTACGAAGATTATTAGATTCCAAAGGAATTGGGGTATGGATCCATCCTTCATGCCAAGCAGAAAATCATTCGAACGTGCAGGTACTTATCTTTCTGCACAGAACTCTATTGTCTATTTCCTCAGGCTATAAAGAGTTGATAGCACCATCCCTCATTTCAAGTGCAGGTCGTTATGACATAGCACGGGCGTTGGAGAAATGGGGCGGGCTGCATGAAGTATCCCGTCTTCTATCACTAAAGGTCAGACACCCAAACAGACAATCCGTGCTCGCTAAAGACAAGAGGGCTGATTGTGCTACGACTTCTGATAACAGCAATGTGAACGGACTGGATAAGGTACCTTCCAAAACCTATGTTTCACAGGATACACACAAGTGGCTAATGAAACTCAAGGACTTGGACTTAAATTGGGCAGAATAAGATTCGCATACAGAGAACTACAGCTTCATTGACTAACTTTATGTGTCCAAGTGACTCCACAAATGCACATATATGTAAAAATTTAGGTGATTCGTGACATAATTTTCATCCCTTTTCCTCTCCACTTATCTCTAGCTGCCGTAGAATTCTACAGATATCTGTAAGGACTACATCTATGTAATATGTGTTTATAGCTTTACAACAATGCGCCTTTACTGTTTTCGGTGCTGGTATAGAAAAAATAAATAAACAAAAAGCAAGTTATAATAATGAAAACAGAAAAGGAAGATGGTGTTGATGTGCACGTAATTTAGAGCTAGAAAATAGTTACTAACATAGAATAAATACTAATGAATTCAGAACAATATGGAAGGATACAAGGTTATAATGTATGTGCTCACCTCAGTTTGTCTCTGCACGAAAATACTGCCTTTAACAGAACAATTTAGTGTGTGTGTGTGTATATATATATATCACATCAAATTGGGAAGAGCTTTAGCGGTTTTCTTTTTACCCAATACAAGATTCATATGGGATTTGTCTGGCAACTTAGCTTCTTTATGACGCTGCAGCAATTTGGTTGGCTTCTTTAAAGTCTTCTTCCTGCTGTTATACTGCCTTTTAGCCATCTGAACAGGGATTTCTTTTCCTTGTTTGAACTTTCTTGACTGTCGAACATGCCTGAACAAACCTCCCATAAGCCCACGGAAATGTGAACTTTTATATTTGTCAACTATTAGTGATTTGTTCGTTTTCTCCACAGCTCTTTCAGCTCTCACTTCTTTCCCTCTCTTCTTCTGTAAAGATGCATTGTGGTTCATCATTGTCCTGCTATTACCAAGATCATGGTGATGATGGTGGTGGTGGTGGTGATGGTGATGAAAAATAACTGCCAGTTTGTCTTTTATCTGCTTCCATATTCCCCTTTGTTTCTTACTGCCCACAAAGTTAGATGATTTGCGAGTCTGGCCATGGCCAGACCTCTTTGATGTAGAGTGCATGGACTTGTGTCTGGCTCTTGCATATCGATTGATTGATCCATCTTTCGAGGAGCATTCCTCTCTCCTGCTACTCCTACTGGAACTTACTTCAAGCCCCGCACCACTACAGGTGGATGAGTAGTAGCTCTGATTCTCACTGTCACCTGTATAACTTGTGTACAAGCTTCTGGTCTCGGTTTCACTACTGGTTCTTGATGTTGTATATTCAGTCTCTATACTATTATCTGGTAGCGAACACTCTTCATTATCAGTGGCACTATAAAGGCTGTCTGGATATGAGTCAGTTGTTACATCTGACTCTCGGTATGGCAATGCTAAGTTTGTTCCAGTCTTATAGTTTCTGTCCCTTGAGATCCTATCTTTGCATAACTCTCCAGAGTTTTGCTGATGCTTATAATGACCTTGGTGTCGGGAACTGATCATCTTTGATGGGCAGGCTTTGCAGCTAGCCCCAGAAGTTGAAGCGATATTGAGATTAGGATCAACAAACTCTCTGTCTTCTTCGGTTTCTTTCAAACTCACAATACTGCCCAATGGCATATGGAATAGTCTGTACCTATTGGTATCATTCTCTTTTCCTATATGGCTTTGATACAGATTTCTATTCCCTAAAATAGAAGGATGATTGGCTAGGTCCTTACCATTCATATAGGATGTTGAATTTGAGTTAACTGCAACAGCGAAATTTGGAACAACATGGATCTGACTCTGTACGAGGTCATTATAGCCCATGATCCAGTTTCCTAATTCAATGTTGTCCATAATAGCCTTGACATTCTGGGCCCCAAAGTTTTCTTGCAACTTCTTTTCTTCAACTAACTCCCTGGTCTCAGACACTTCAGTTCCCCTGCCTGGATGTTTGTCTCTGATCAAATTACTCCTGACGGATTGTTCCCACATTGCTCTTGTTGGCTGAACTAGATTGGAAGTTTGACCCGTAGATAAATATGGTGCCTGTATTTCCTCTACTGCAACACGAGATGCTTGATGCAGTGTTCCGCCAAAAGATGACTCAACCCTTTGTCTTGAAATATCGTGCTGCCAAGTACTTTGGCCTATATATCTCTCCTCATTTTGGGTCATACTGAGCTTTGGAACATCGCCATGTTGGGTTTGGGGAGCAGGGCTTTTTGACTTTGCTTTAAGAAAACAATTTTGAGGTTGAACATATCTCCCTTCAAATGGATGCTGGGGATTATCTCCTGGATGGAATGTGGAGATACCCAGCTCAATTTGCTCAATTGCCTTGGAAGCTTGTTTTGATAGAATATCTACTTCTTGTGGTTTGCTTACAGCTTCCTTATAAGGTGCTTCGGAAAAATCAGTAGCAATCATATCAGCTGGGAAACCCCTGTATGCATTACTACTCCAGTTCCTTTCCAAAGCTTTGCTACCCTTTTTACTTATGGATTCATTCTGGTTTCCGTTAGAAACATAATGATCAGAAAAGCTGTTTGAGCTGTAAAAGTGCACCCCCTCCTTGGTTTCAGGTTGTTTTACAGTGTTACTTTGGCAAACCCTGCAACGTCTCCTGTATTCGTGCCCACCAGACATGGCACGTTTAAGTGGTTGCTCCATAGCACTAGGACCAGCCTGAGATTGTTGTGGAGCAAAAGACTCGTCCTTCCAGGAAGGAACACTCAATTTAGGCATTCTGATTCTGTCTGTGTTGGAACCATCTTGCTCTTTCTGAATACTTCCACTAAAATATGCAGGTATCAACGTATTTTGTAGTGGTGGGGTAGGTTGTTGTTCCTTGGATGACTCAGCAGGAGAAGCTGGTTCCGATGCCTCCCCTGCGACCATCTGTAGCAGATGCAGAATGTCCAGGATTAGGAAAAGGCTTGCAAGTTGCAACATCACTAAGAACATTGACAAACATATAGAGGGAGGGGAGGGGAGGGGAGGGATACATACTAAACATACCTTGAGGACCCTTTTGGTAGCAGCATCCAGGAGATTCTTGAGCAGAGACCGCGAATGTTGATCTAGTGGCTACTCCAGAACAAAATATCAGGTCATCAAACCAGAAAAAAATGATTAGTCCAGACTAACAACACTTGAGTAAAACATTTGTATGTGGTGGGGGAGAGGAAGGGTGTCCGACCAAATGAATATGAAATTAGTCCAAGGCATAACATAACCAAGTGAGAACTGAAATTTTCACAATGAATCTGCGCTGCAGAAGCAGTACATTCCAACCCAAACTCAATTAATCTGTGCCAAGCATGATGAGAACTGGGAAGGGATTTAGGGAAATGCAGTATTTATTATATGCACATAATATCTTTCGATATAACAAATAAAAAGGAATTTGTGTGAATATAGAAGGAATAACACGCAAAAAAATTAACCCAAACAAAAAGAACATTACAGGAAAACAAACTCACTGATTCGCTTTCAGAGTTTGATGATCCACTTTTGATAAGTCCATATAATCTTTTAAGTGAATTAAGATCTGAATGTATCTCCTTTGCATCCATGGCCATCTAAGCCCACCGGATGAATATCCAAACGATTAAAAAAGACAATCATATGGACTACTAAGACTGATGGTCATTTCTCTTCCATTCGGACAGTGGAAACTTCAGTTGGAGCAGAAGTGAAAACAAAATGCATGATCTGATTCTGATTATGATTTTCTGCGGAAAGGAGAAACGAGTGAAGTAACCGCCCGAGAAGATAGAGGCGCGAGGCGGATCGGTGTCTGGAGCGTCAGTTATTTTGCAAAATTACTCGTATTTAGGCTCCACAAAATTACATTCATGATATGATAGTTATCTATTTTTATTTGAGATCAGTCTAATTCGTCAGTTCTGACATTGTTTTTGAAATTTTTCAGATTTTTCTAATTTTTTTTTTTTTTTACAATTTTTTATCATTATAATAGAATATTTAAAATCTATATAGATTTTACAGATTTTTTTTATTGTGTTAGCGGATATATATACACTTTTTAAATTTTATAAAGTTTAATTTTAATTTTTTTTTAAATTCATATTCTCATTTCTTTTGCATATTTTTCAACAAATTTTACTTTTATATTTATTTTGATTTAAAAAAAAAAAAGAAGATAAAGATAGAGAACGATCCAAAGTTCACAGTTTTGATTTTTTTTTTTTAAATTAAAAAAAAATCATTAATTTTATAGACTATATTTTATAATTATTTCATTTGAACTGTATTGATTTTAGTGTGAATCATCAAACAAAGTGAGTATTTTTTTATAAATAAATAATTATAATTTTTCTTTAATAATTTATCTTGCATCATTGTGTCTATATATATATGATATGAAATATCAAGGTTGTTAGTATCTTTATATATTTTTTTCGATAGTTTTATAGAGAAAATTTAGATATATTTATATATTTTTTTAGATAATTTTAGTATTTTTTAAAAAGATAATGCATATGTATTAATTAAAAATTTTGAATTACGTATTATTTTCTAATAAGTAAATATATATTATGTGTTTCAAGTTATTACCGTAGATTGGTGTAAAGAATATTCACATATTTTGAAAAGACCTTAACAATTATAACTATTTTTTTTCTATATTTTTTTCCGTAGTTTATAAAATAACTTTTACTTAAATATTATGATTTGTATTATATAAGATTCCATCTACAATATTTTATTTACTTTTATTTATATAGTATAAAAATAATTTTATTATATATATTTATTTTATAAATTATAAATAAAGCATATATGCAAAATTTATCAAATATATAATTACATTACAATATTATTTTTAAAATATTTTAATAATATATACACCCGTGCATAGCCAGGTTTAAATGTTAGTCTATATATTATGTATTTGAGATCAGTCTAATTCCACATTTTTGGATTTTTCAAATTTTTTTATTTCTTTTTGTTTTACAGTTTTTTTATCATGATAATAGAATATTTAAAATCTATTAATTTTTACAGTTTTTTTTATTGTATTAGTGGATATATATACACTTTTTAAATTTTATAAAGTTTTTTTTAAACTCATATTATCATTTCTTTTGCATATTTTTCAACAAATTTTACTTTTATATTTATTTTGATTTTTAAAAAAACAAAAAGATGAAGATAGAGAATAATCGAAGGTTCACAGTTTTGATTTTTTTTTTTCAAATTAAAAAAAAAAATTAATTTTATAGATTATATTTTATAATTATTTCATTTGAACTGTATTGATTTTAGTGTGAATCATCAAATAAGGTGAGTATTTTTTTATAAATAAATAATTATAATTTTTCTTTAATAATTTATCTTGCATCATTGTGTCTATATATATATATATATATGATATGAAGTATCAAGGTTGTTACTATCTTTATATATTTTTTTAGATAGTTTTATGGATAAAATTTAGATATATTTATATATATTTTTAGATAGTTTTAGTATTTTTTAAAAAAATAATGCATATGTATTAATTAAAAATTTTGAATTACTTATTTTTTTTTTTCTAATAAGTAAATATATATTTCTTATCTATTTATATTTATATAAATAGAAAAATAATGCCAAAAAATTATTTGACTGCATTTACTGACCGAACGTTCACATTCAATGTTCCTGTGCCTCCGACATTTGCAAGACCAGATGCTCCATCTCCAGTGTTTCAAGTTATGATCGTAGATTGGTGTAAAAAATATTCACATATTTTGAAAAGACCTTAACAATTATAACTATTTCTTTTCTATATTTTTTTTTTGGAATTATATATTTTTTTCCGTAGTTTATAAAATAACTTTTACTTAAATGTTATGATTTATATAATATACTATTCCATCTACAATATTTTATTTACTTTTATTTATATAGTATAAAAATAATTTTATTATATATATTTATTTTATAAATTATAAATAAATCATATATGCAAAATTTATCAAATATATAGTTACATTACAATATTATTTAAAACATATTTTAATTATATTTACACCCGTAAATAATACGGATTTAAATGCTAGTTATAGTATATAAGAGCTCGAAGGTAAAATTCTTGATTTCTTAGAAGTTTAGAGATTATTTATTTTTTTCTTTTTACACTTTTCTGTAATTTTTAAATATACGAGTGTATTTACAGTTTTGTAAAAATTTTATTCGTTTTTTCATGAAATATTAGTGGGCATTTACAATTTTATAAATTTATGTTAGTGTTTATTTTTCCTATTGCAATTTTTATTTTTATTCTTTTATTTTTCAATTTTACAAACCAATTTTGTCTTTTTTCCCTTTTTTTTTTTTTTTTTTAAGAAAAGATAGTATTTCTCAATTTTACTTTTATTTTCTAGCATTATATATAAGTCGGAGCAAAACTTCTTAAATTGGAATTCAGTGTCAGAGGAAACTGCCGCTTGGACAACCGTAAGTTGTTCACTGAAATAATTAATTTTATGAATCACCAAAATATATTGAACTTTTTAATTGATTTCTCAAATATCTATACAACATATCATGGAGTGATTTATTTTTTTAGTATTATGTTTGTTTGATTATTCTTATTTCTAAATTTTGTTTTTAAACACTTAATTATAGTTTCACTCTATTTTTACTTTTGACTCTAAAATAGTTTAGGTTTGTCTAATTTACAGTACTATTTTGTTGTCGGAGGATACTGCTGCTTAGATGTTGAGATTTGTTGGTCAAATTCTATTGCAGTTGAAGACATTGTCGTCGACAAAGATTGTCAAAGTTACAAAAAGATATTAATACACTCTATGTTAAATAAAAAATATACAAATTTTATAATTCACGAATATTGTTGGCTATAAATATATAGAAATTAAAAAATTAAAATTTATTTATTATTTTAAATGTCTTAAAATATTTTGATAAATTTTAATAATATTTAGATAGATTGTGTTAGTTAGAAAGATAATATGTATATTAATTAAATAGTTTTGAATTATTTATATTTGTATATACATTTACATTTTTATTTTTTATAATTATTCTTTTACATATCTTTTCTGCATTAATATAATTTTTTAATTTCATTATTTAAATTTTATAATCAAATATCATACCATATACAAATAGGACATTATTGTACGGCTCATCCTCCTAATTGCAAATCATATATATCATATATCATATCATATATATATATTTGACAAAAACACTTTAATTCGTGCATTATCACAATTTTGGAATTTTCTTTTATATTTTAAATAATAAGTGGATAATTAGTTAAAATTTGTCCGGACAACAACTAATCTAACAAAATCTGAATTTATCGAGATAATAAATAACAAAAATATGGATAAAATAAGGGTTTCGTATATCTATATATACCTTTGAGAGATTAAGCCAAAATTACCACAACAAAAATTATTATGAGATTTTTGTCCAACATTCCGCAGGTTAGGAAAAATAGAGATCACTAATTCGTTAACCGTCGGATCAATATGAAATTTTTAAGAAGTTTTCGTAATTTGCTAGGTTTACAAACAAACGGTGAGATTTTTTATTGGATGCCTGTACTTAAATTTGCTATGTTTACAAACATGACATATTTTTAGGTTTTTTTTTTTTTATCTTGATTTTTCTTAAATTTGTAGTTTTTGTTGGTTGATTGAAGGGTGATTGAGTGAGTTTATATGTATTTTTTTTTAAATATTATATTTAATTAGATTATAGTAAATTTTCTACTTTATCTTGGTTTTCCATGTGCAAAATTGTCTTATTTCTTTTCATATTTTATTTATGCATATAATTTGCTATTGTTCAAAAGAAGTAAAATTTTACATGAAAAAATATCTGTTGTTTGATTTTTCCAACAAAACAAAGTAAAATTCGAAAATAATATCAAACTTGAATAGAAATATTATTCGTAGCATAAAGCAGTAAAATACATGAAAAATAAAAGATGACCCAAAAAAAAGAATTTGCAATTAGCTTGACTTTTTTGTCTGATCAGTTACAGCAACCGCTATCCATCGCCCACCAATTCCTCTTCTATTGACATGTGTCCTAACCGTCTCGTCAACCGCTACTGCCGGTTACAGAATCCAACGGGCTCGACCGACCGCCTCTGGACGCCTTTCCTTCCTAGATGGACGGCTGGTCCCTAACGACAACCCAACCGCGCAGCATACTTTAGCCCGACTACGGGCCAACCAACCGGCTCGACCGACCGCCTCTGGACGCCTTATCTCCTTAGACGGTCGGTTGATCCAACCGATTACCCAACCGCCCGCCTTACTTTGGCCTAACTGCGGGCTAACCGACCAGCTTCACCAACCGCCTCTGGACGCCTTATCCCTTAGATGGACGGCTGGTGCAACCGACTACCCAACAGCCCGCCTTACTTTGGCCCGACTGCGGGCCAACCGACCAGCCTGACCAACTGCCTCTGGACGCCTTATCCCTTAAATGGACGGCTGGTCCAACCGACTACCCAACCACCCGCCTTACTTTGGCCCGATTGCGGGCCAACCGACCAGCCTGACCAACCGCCTCTGGACGCCTTATCCCTTAGATGGACAGCTGGTCCAACCGACTACCCAACCGCCCAACTTACTTTGGCCCGACTGCGGGCCAACCGACCAGCCTGACCGACCGCCTCTGGCCGCCTTATCTCCTCAGATGGACGGCTAGTCCATCCGATTACCATGAGAAGCCCCTTAATCAACTGGTGGGCCCAACGACGGGCCCACATCTCCTCCTATCTCTTTTACCCTAATTATAAAATTCGTATGTAACAACTTGCCCGCCGACATCGGACTTTCAAATGCCGCTCCTCGATCGCCGCATGACAAGACGTTTGGAAGTCTGCAACCTATATAATCAGTGCCGTTCTAACTCTGTTTTCCATCATATCAATAGGGTTTTAAATACCCATTTTGAAATCTCTTTTAAAAACCTCTCTTCTTCTCTACTGGTGTTTCTCTTATTCTCTGCAACTCAAGGTCATGGCGAACCAATACATACCTGGACTCCCTTTTGACGGAACCGTCCCAGAAGTATCATTTGTTGCTACGAAGGTACTAACTCTTACCATCCGTCCATACTGTACGACTTCTGAAGACTCCAACCGGATGAGAGAGGTATTGGAAGCAAGAAACCCCCTCGCCGTCAATAATCCCAACTACAATGCTATCCATCTCTATGACAGTATCAAAACACATCTGACGGACCCCAAAGACCCCTACCGCACCTGGTATAATAGGGTGGCGGAGCGTTTTCAAGACCAGTGGAAACGCCAACAAATCGACCAGGCGATACTCCTATCGACTCTCTCAGTTCACTTGTACGAAAAAGTGCTTTTGGCGATGTCGGCTTTCTGGCACTCGGAGATGGGTGTCTTCTTCCTGCCGACGGGCCCCATTGGCCCAACTCTCATGGATGTGCCCATGATCGCCCATCTTCCCATCGTGGGTGAGGACCCTGTGATGGGAGCCCTAGATGGGCAGGAGCCAGATGCGGACCATTTGGGCTGGTCTTTAGCTGGCGTTAAAGAATGGGGCTAGACAAAATTTGCGACCGACCAGTAGGGGGCTGCAGGGACCCGACCGACCGCGAACATGTCGCCTTCCTTCTCCTCTGGCTTTGTAGGTATCTCATAGTCTCCCATTCCAAATGTGTCCTTCCTTCCCGTATTGACCTGGCTATCCATATAGCTTCAGGTTGTTTCTTTTCTCTTGGTACTCTCTTTCTTGCCAATCTTTTCAAAGGTCTATCTAGGGTTAGTACCCGCCTTATAGATAGTGATAGTAAAAAATTAGATACCGTTGCGTCGGGTCCTTTTTGGTTTCTGGAACTTTGGTTCCGTCTTTATTTTTCCGACGCGTACCAACTTGGCCGCCCTCCTATTACTCCAACACCCGACAAATCCTTGGGATTAGTCCTCAACCGACTTTGTCTGGGCCATAGCAACCTCCAATCATCTGACCCCATCATTACTGCTATCCTAACCGACGACCGCAGCACTCCCGTTTTTACGTATATAGAAAGTATGTTTGCTATGCGTCTGGTCTTTTTTGGCCTTTTCCTGTGTCTTCACCCATGGCTGAACCTGACCCTCTTCCTCATCCAACTTATTATTTCTCCTGGGATTCTGCCCTCAAACCCAGGTCTTTATTTTTTAGTAAGAAATTTGACAACAAGGGCCAAAAATCATTTTATACTTTCAGTTATCAGCCTCAATTTTTGGCACGCCAATTCGGCTGTCGCCAAGGCTTACCTGGCCCCATCGCCCGTCCTCATCTAATACCTTAAAGCCCGGACGGACGGGTCATCCCTGAGTTGATTTCTCCTTATATTTCCCAACTTATCAACTACATAACTTCCAATTCTTACATTCCATTCCATTCTTCTCCCGATTATGTCGAGTCTTTCCGTAAATGGTGGTCGGTCACTTGGGCCCTACTTGCCCCTGAAAAAGATCGGTTGCTGGGTGTTCTCCTGCCCCAGCCTGCCTTGGTGTTAGGGGCGGCCCAACCGATTAGCGCCCGAAGAAAAGTGGCCGCCCCGGGTACCGGGTCAAGCGCCCCAAAAAGGAAAAGGAAAGCTTCCCAGTTCCAAACAGTCTCGACCTCAGGAACAGACCAGCAGGCTTCGAAGGACTTGTTATCAGGTCGGACGCTAGTAAAGACCCGACCCCATTTAGGTACGTTCCAGAAGTCCTGATTTATTCTGATATTTCCTTAACTTTCTAACTTATCACTCTTACTATCAGGCCCGACTTCGGCAATACCGACTGTCCAAACTACTACAACCCCGGCCGAACCACCAAATTCGCCAGCCGACCAGCCTCAAGTAACTGAATTACTTTTCCCTCTATTTTCAACATTTCACGTACTGACCTAAGTCATTCCAACGCAGACTCTTCCCATCCAAACACAGGCACCAACACTCAACTTGCCAATGATCAATCAGGAGGTGGACCCGACTAGGAGGCATCCCATCTTTCTCAACCGATGAGCGGTCGGGAAGAGGCCCCGACCAAGAGGCAATCCTTGCCAGCACCGCTAAACGACCCGGTAAGTTTCCTTAACATCCGATTTTCACCATATCAAAACTTATATTGGAAATAAGTATTTAACATATTTATTGCAGACGCCTTCACCATCCGAACCTGTGGTATCAAGGGTCTCATCTGATAGTGAGGCGACTGCTTCGCAGATGGGCAGATTGCCATACGTGGCCTCATACTCATTTTTTCTTAACGAGAAGCCAATTGCACCGCCTGCATCCGCTTCTCATGTGGTCGCCTCTGCTGCAGCTGCTTCTTTTGCAGCCGCCTCTGCTGCGGCCGCCTCTATTGCGGCCAACCCCAACGCGGCCGCTTCGATTGCCAGAGATGTCTCAGGTGCGGCCGTCCAAGTCGCCCCTGATGTACCAGTTGCAGCCGCCCCAGGTGCAGCCGCCCCAAGGGTAGCAGACCCTATTCCGGAGGAGGCCAGACGGGAAGAAGACCCACATGCGGCCGCCCAACCAAGAGGTCTCTTGCAGGAAATAGAAGAGATTTCTTCTTCTGATTCGGAGACCTCTGTCAACTTGGTAAAATCTTCAAGCTCCCTTTTTCCTTACTAAGAACCAATTTTCAACCAATATTAAATACTTTATATTTCAACTTGTAGGGACCCAGGTCAGCACCGCAGCGACCATTCGCAGCAGCCGAAGAGTCGGCCATTGTGGTGCCAGCTGCCCGTTTTCCCCGACCAACGACACTCCTTGCACCCTCCGGAACCACGGTCCGCCCGGAAGTAAGTAAAGTTCCCACAAATAATTCTTAATAATTTTCTCCATGAGACCTAATCAATAAAAATCCTCTTTTCAGGGACATCTTGATCTAGCCCCTCTGTCGGCCGTTCTGATTCCGGCGGACATTCAGGCCATATTTGCTCAGGCCGTCAACCGACCTTTCCCCGACTTAGGGTCAGACTTCCTATACGGTCTCCTTCAGGCGGTTGGTGGCCTTCTATTTCAAATTCCTTCGAAATCGGCAGCCGCCCCCACTCTGCATCGGCTGATGGAGAGATTAGCCGAACTCCGAAACGACATCTTACTCGCCCGACTCTTGTCAGCCGAACCGTCCCAGCCCATTTCGGATCAAATAAGTCTGGAGGCTTCCTTGGCTAAAACTAGGGAATCACTTCAACAAGCTATTGGAAGGCTGTACGAACTCCTCAGTACTAAAACTCAAATAGATGAGTCAATCGAAAGGAAAGAAGCACAATTGAGGACGCTTCGTCAAGAACAGTCCGCCTTGGAAGGCCATGTGGCCGACGAGCAATGCCTAATTGAACGATATAAGAAAAATGAGGCCGACTTGGATCAAGAATTAAAGATTCAAACCCGATCACAATTTATCAAACGATATCAGGCGACTGCTAATAACCGACGGCTGTCCAGGGCCGAAGACAAATGGTCCCAGATTAAAACCGCCCTGGGGGTCCTTCTGTAATAAATTTTTCTTTGTAAACTCTGATTTAGTAAATATTTTGTTTCTCCTATCGACAAGGATCGCTTTCCAAACTCCGAATCTCCAGGGGACAAATCAACCTCATTTCCTTTATAAATATCATTGTCCCCTTGTGACAAAATAATCACTCGTCAAGAAAAAATTTGAACTTTGGGCATACATGAAGTATTTATTAAAATGTCATACAACCGTCCCCATGTTCCTTCGAAAAACTAGGAAGGTGCTATCCAACCCTTCTTCGTGGGTAATCGTCATGTTAGAGGCCATGCTGAAGACTTGTTACACATACTCAAACAACTGGATTTCAAATTCAGATTCTCCCAACAAGGCAGAAAAACCATTCATTGTGTTATTCGCCTGATGGAAAACGTGCTGGGAGGATATGAGACTCTTCGCAATATCCTAAGTCGCCTTCCTGATATCGATCACCATATGGATTTGATTGAACACCATGTAACAGCCATACTTCCAGACCTTGGCTGGAATAACAGATGTGAAGGCTCGTACCAATCATGATTTAGAATAGATGGAAAATCAATGGGAAAGGTACCGACCTGATTTAGAAGACCTTATCAATGAAGAACCAGAATTAATTCCTAATCACTGGGATGAAGATTCTGACTCAGAGGAAAGAGGTCCTCTGCACGCATCAATATTTGATAATGAATGAACCCCTTTTTGGGTCCGAACCCCTACGGTAGAGTTCTGAATAAAATTTCTTGTTTCATGTATTCTTTTTATCTGAAAAAGCAGGAAAATACCTCTTCAGATATCTAGCATTTATACAATCATGTACCCTTTTACCTTCTTGATTTATTATAATAAAGGCATCATTTTCAATCTCCTTTTGAATAATAAATGGCCCTTCCCAATTCGGGGACCACTTTCCTAATTGATCAATCTTCTTGTATGTAGGAAGGATGGTCTTCCAAACCAAGTCTCCTTCTTGGAAAGTCTTATAAAGGACTTCCTTTCCACAAGTCTTTGCCCTGATTTCACTCTGTTTCACAATCTGATCGATTGCATGGAGTCGGTTGACATCCAAACTTTTCAACTGCTGCAACATAACTTGTTGATATTCTTCAGTAAATTCACCAGTAGTAAAACTTGTACGTCCAAATGATACCTGAATTTTGGCAGGTAACACAGCATCTTGTCCAAAAGTGAGTTGATATGGTGAGAACCCCATGGCGGAACTTCTGCTATTCCTGTGTGCCCATAAAGCCTGAGATAGCAACAAATGCCACCTTTTTGGATTCCCCTCAACCATCTTCTTTATAATTCCAATAATAATCTTATTGGCCACCTCTGCATGCCCATTAGCTTGGGGATAATAAGGTGAAGAATGTTTATCCGAATACCAAACTCAGCCAAGAAGCTTAGAAATTTCTCCCCAGTGAAAACCAAACCTTGGTCGGTGGTTATAGAATGAGGAATACCATACCTATAAATGATCTGATTTAGCACAAAAACCATCACCTCCTTTTGATCCACATTTTTCAAAGCAACCGCCTCGACCCATTTGGTGAAATAGTCTGTTGCAACCAAGATAAAACAATGATGTTTGGATGAAGGAGGATGTATCTTACCAATGATGTCCATGGCCCAAGACTTGAAAGGCCATGGTTTTACCATAGCTTGCAATTCAGTGACTGGAAAATGATTCAATTGTCCATGTTTTTGACATTCCTGGCAGCCTTTGGCAAATAGTATACAATCTTCGAAAATATTTGGCCAAAAAAAACCCAAATGATGAATAGGCCATCTCATATTCAAACCTGCTCGATGAGCTCCGCAAATCCCACTGTGTACTTCTATCATGAATTCCAAGGCCTGCTTAAACCCTAAACATTTTAAAAGTAATCCTTCGAATATCTTTTTGTATAAGACTCCTTCTATCAAATGGAACCGTAGAGCCTTTAAACGTATCCCTATCGATACATTCGCTCTTGGATTTTGCAGATACGTGATAATTTCGGTCCTCCAGTCGGTCCCATCTTCTGTTTCCGGTTCTAGCTCCGCACAATATCTTTCGGGATTCCTTTACAAGCTCTTTGGGCTAAATCATCTGCAAGTTGATTTTCCTTCCTTGGGATGAACTCAATTATCACCTCTGAGATTTTTTATAACAAACGACACACAATATCCCTGTATCTGTGTAGGTGAGGATAATTACAAACATATTGTTTGGTTACCTGGTTGATTATCAATTGAGAATCTCCTCTTATGATCACCGACTGAACATTTCTGGCTACTACGGCTTCCAACCCCAAGATTAAAGCCTCATACTCTTCCGAATTATGGGTCATGGCCTCTAATTGCAGTTGTAATTTGATCTTTTGGCCATCTGGTCCTTTCAATAAGACCCCTGCACCCGATCTGTTTCCAGAAGTAGAACCATAAAATAACATTAACCAATTTCGGATACTTACATAAGATATGCATCCGGTCTGTTCCTGATTATTCCCCAAAAAATTTGCCAAAAAATCTGCTATTGCTTGGCGTTTGACCGCCTTCAAAGGAGAATGTTGTAAATCAAAAGGATCTAATTTAATGGCCCATTTCATAAGTCTGTCATGCATGGTAGGTCTTTGCAAATTAATTTGATAAGATCAACCTTTGAGATAACCTCTATTCTCCTAGGCAGCATATAGTGCTCAAGTTTGGTGCATGCAAACACCAATGAGTAACACATTTTTTCTGGCATAGTGTAATTTAATTCTTGTCTTGTGATGGTCTTACTCAAGTAGTAAATTGCCCTTTCCTTTCCATCATCACCATCTTGTGCTAATAAACAACTGACCACTTCATGTGTATTTGCCAAATAAAGTTTGAAGGGTCAACCTTCTTTGGGGGGCATCAACACGGGTGGTTGGATCAAGGTTTGCTTTATAGCTTCTAAAGCCGTATGCTGATCTGCTCCCCAATTGAAATTATTCCCTCCAGCGTTTAACAATTTAGTAATTGGCCTGACCTTTCCTGCAGCATTAGAAATGAACCTCCTTAGATAATTTACCTTGCCCAAAAGACTTTGTACTTCCTTAACCGTTTTGGGTGATCGGGTGGAATGAATTGCTTTGGCTTTATTGGCATCGATCTCAATTCCCTTTTCATGTACCAAAAATCCTAAAAACTTCCAGCTGATATACCGAAAGCACATTTAGTTGGATTCATTTTCAACTTGTACCTCTTCATTCGTCCGAAAGCATCTTTCAGATCTCTCAAGTGTTCCTCGAAACTGGAAGATTTGACGATAACATCATAAATATATATTTCCATAGATTTGCCAATAAGATCATGAAAAATTGAATTCATGGCCCTTTGATAAGTTGCCCCTGCATTCTTTAAACCGAATGACATAACCGTCCATTCGTAAATACCTAAAGCCTCTGGACATCTGAATGTTGTCTTATGAATGTCTTCTTCTGCCAAAAAGATTTGGTTATATCCTGCATAACCATCCATCAGACTGAGGATTTTATGTCTTGCTGTTGAATCAATTAGCATGTCCGCCATAGGCATCACATATTCATCTTTAGGGGTGGCCATATTAAGGTCCCTGAAATCAATACATATCCTGATCTTACCATTCTTTTTAACCACTGGCACAATATTTGCCAACCATTCTGCGTATCGGCAAGGCCGAATGAAACCCACTTTGAGAAGTTTCTGGATTTTCTCTTTGATTTGAGGCATCAAATCAGGACTTATACGCCTTGGAGGTTGTTTGTAAGGTTTAAAACCTTCTCTAATAGGCAACCGATGCTCTATCAGACTTCGCTCCAAACCAGGCATTTGAATAATCCCAAGCTAAACAATCAATATTTTATGATAACTTCAAGCATCTTTACCTGTTGCTCCTCAGACAAATAACCACTTATCCTTATTATTTTTGGAACCAAGTCGGTTCCTAAATTAAATTTCAACGGAGGATATTGTGCTGAAAAGGCTGGTTCTGTCTTCTCTAATAAGTTGGGCCAACGAAATTGTTCATCCTCTTGGAGATGAACATCATAAATCTTTTTAATTTTTTCTGTTTTTTCCAAAAGCTGATTTAAATAAAACTGATTAATAAGTAAACTACAATCTTCTAAATTTGTAATATCCATAAAAAATATATTATAAAATAGGTTTGGCTTCTTTATGAGCCATACAATAAGGTTGTTCTTTTTTAGAACAACATTGTATTATGGATGGTGAATCTATAACCCTTCCTTGGGTATTCACTAGCCATAAAAGCCTGAGACATTAGGGGTAAGTGAGTAGAATAAAATACTGATTCTTCAACTTTCTCTGATGTATCAAAAGGATTGTCATTTGCTTCCATTTTGAAGACCTGATTGCCCTCCCAGAACATTAATTGTTGATGTAGTGTTGATGGTACACATTGAGATGCATGAATCCAGTCTCGCCCAAGTAGGACCGAATACATAGTGTCTGCATCCACTACAAAGAACACGGAAGAAATCTTCTTCGGTCCAACTTCAATTGGAGCAACCATCATACCTTCTGGTTTGGTCGGTTGCCCTGTAAAACTAGTCATCTCGAAATCCACTAGAGATAAATCGTGAACTCTTTTCCCTAACTTCTTGAGAGTCTTTAATGGCATAACATTGAAGACGGCTCCATTGTGTATAAAAACCTTTGTGATTGGTTTCCCGCAAATATGTGCATTAACATACAGAGGTTTTAAATGGGATGCCGTGCCTTCTGGAATGGGAGGGAAGACTATCGGAGGAACCTCTGACTGAAAATCAGAATCTGAAATCTTTGCCCATTCTGGTTCTTCTATAATATCATCCACCATACTTGCCCATAGAGGTTCTTCTTCAATCCAATGAATTCCTGACATTCGGCAGGGGACTCGTGGCCCTAACCGAGATTTGACAGATCTTGAATCTGTTTCTGTTGTAAGAATTTCTTTTTCCGCCTCGTTTCCAGTTTGAGCTGTCAGTGATTCTAAACGAAATTCTTCAAAAGAT